TCAGAGGAAGGGGTTGGGGGGAGGACGGAAAGACATTAAGATCTTATATGCATACGAGAGGCCTGGTACACGGATTTGTGCACCAATGGGGTCCCTCAGCCTGGCCTGCAGGGATTGGGCCGAAACAGGCAGTCCGACATCCCGCGAGTGTTCCCAGATTGCAAGAGGGCGCGAGCCAGGCTGAGGGACCCACCAGCACCGGGCCTCTAGTATCCTATCTAATAAAAGAGAAACATGGTAATTGGCGTATGACTGCTACCCTTCCCATCGGCTAATCAGGGCAATATGCAAATTAACTGCCAGCCAAGATGGTGGCCGGCAGTCAGGCAGCTTAAACTGAACATGAGGCTTGCTTGCTTCAGTGACGGAGTACTGCAACGTTCCCCGCCTGCCTTGCCGGCCTCTGAGCTTGCAGTTTAATAAACACTGTAACAAATATAGAAGCTAAACAAAACCCCAGAAACCAGCTTTCAGCGAGCCCAGGATCTCAGAGCTGGAGTTGATACAGAGTTTCGATTATAGAAGCTAAACAAACCAGATACCTTCTTTCAGCAGCTGAGGCCTCAGAGCTGGAGCCTCAGAGCTAAAGCTGGCCCAGAATAAAAAAGAAAAAAGAAAAAAAGGAGCAGTTGGGAGCTTCAGTCGGCCTGAAAACAGTCCTCAGCCCCTCACCCAGGCTGGCCAGGCACCCCAGTGGGGACCCCCACCCTGATCCAGGACACCCTTCAGGGCAAACCAGCCAGCCCCCACCCATGCACCAGCCCTCTATTCTATATAGTAAAAGGGTAATATGCCTCCCAGCACCGGGATCAGCGGAGCTGAGAGGCCTCCTGGCACTGGGATCAGCGTGACAGGGGGCAGCGCCCAAACCCCCTGATCGCCCTGCGGCTCTGTGTGTGACAGGGGGTGGGGCCACAACCTCCCTATCGGCCCTGCTCTGTTCGTGACAGGAGAAGGCCCCCCAACCCCCTGATCAGCCCTGCTCTGTGCCTGATAGGGGGGAGCTCCCCAAACCCCTGATCACCCTGCGGCTCTGTATGTGACAGGGGGCAGCGCCCCAACCCCCTGATCGGCCCTGCTCTGTGTATGACGGGGTGCGGCGCCCCAAACCCCCCACCTCACGGGCCCTGCTCTGTGTGTGATGGGGTAGAGCCATACCTCCCCATCGGCCCTGCCCTGAGTGTGACAGTGGCGGCGTCCCAACCCCCTGATCCGCCCTGCTCTATGTGTGACAGGGGGCGATGCGCCAACTCCCCTATCGGCCCTACTCTGTGAGTGACGGGGGGAGCTCCTCAACCCCCTGATGGGCCCTGCTCTGTGCGTGACAGGGGGGAGCTCCCCAACCCACTGATGGGCCCTGCTCTGTGCGTGACAGGGGGGAGCTCCCCAACCCCCTGATGGGCCCTGCTCTGTGTGTGAGAGGGGGGAGCTCCCCAACCCCCTGATCGACCCTGCTCTGTGCATGAGAGGGGGGAGCTCCCCAACCTCCTATCGACCCTGCTCTGTGCGTGACAGGGGGCAGCGCCCCAACCCCCTGATTGGCCCTGCTCTGTGCATGATGGGGGTGGCGCCGCAACCTCCCCATCGACCCTGCCTTGAGTGTGACAGGGGGCGGTGCCCCAACCCCCCAATCGGCCCTACCCTGAGCATGACTGAGGGTGGCATCGCAACCTCCCGATCCGCCCTGCTCTGTGCATGACAGGGGAAGGTGCCCCAACTCCCCAATTGGCCCTGCTCTGAGCCCGACCAGGGGCTGCACCTAGGGATTGGGCCTGCCCTCTGCCACCTGGGAGCAGGCCTAAGCCAGCAGGGCGTTATCTCCCGAGGGGTCCCATACTGCGAGAGGGCACAGGCCGGGCTGAGGGACCCCCCTTTCCCCCCGAGTGCACAAATTTTTGTGCACCGGGCCTCTAGTATATATATAAAAGCCTAATATGCAAAGTGTCCCCTTGGGAGTTCGACCAGGAGTTCAATTGTTTGCTTTGATGTGCGCTGACCACCGGGGGGGGGGGGCGCGGAGCAGTGGAAGGCCCCGACCAGCAGCCAGAGAAGGGAGGCTCCAGCCAGCAGCCAGAAGGCCCCGATCAGCCCTGATCGCCAGCCAGACCTAGGGACCCTACCCGTGTACGAATTTCATGCATCAGGCCTCTATGTTACTTGATAGAGACATTATGCTAAGGCCAAACTTAAAGGTTGGAAGGGTTACCTCTAGTGAGGTGTTGAAGTAGCAGAGCTTCATGAGAAAGATGGCATTTAAAATGGATCTTGAGTAACTGATAGAATTTATACAGTGACATGGATGAAGTTAAGATTTCCTAGAAGGGAAAGGATGAACTGTCAAGCAAGTGAGGCAATTCGGAGAATTCAGGGTGTGTCCTGAAAGCAGAAATGCCCCTCAATAAACTCATATTTCCACCATACCCCACACCACCTTCTCTGGGCAATTACCTAAATTGGTGAAAGATGTTATCTATTTTTATTCATATGCTCCCTTCCTCTCCATCACCTCCACTTAAGAAGATAGTTGTTTTTCAAATTAGACTTCTTGGGGAGAACACGTGAAGACTTAACTACTTCTCCAGTTAACTAATCCTACATTCTGAATATCCCTGTTCTCTCCACCCCCACGCTCTACACACACTAGGTCGGGGTGGGCAAACTTTTTGACTCAAGGGCCACAATGGGTTCTTAAACTGGACCGGAGGGCCGGAACAAAAGCATGGATGGAGTGTTTGTGTGAACTAATCTAAATTCAAAGTAAACATCATTACATAAAAGGGTACAGTCTTTTTTTTTTTTTTTTTTTTTTTTTTTTAGTTTTATTCATTTCAAACGGATACGGCCCGCGGGCTGTAGTTTGCCCACGGCTGCACTAGGTGCATACTTCCTGAGAGCCAGAGAAGTATATTTTGATCAGTTTGGCCTGTTCAACCTTTTAGTATTGTCCCTGACACCTAGTAAATACTCAGCTTATTTCAGGGCATGGCGTAGTAAATAAGTGATCCTGATTAAAACCATTTCCAACTAAGTTGAAAATTTTTTAAAATATGAACTTTTGAAATAGATGTCTGAAACTTTGCAAATACCAGCATTTGTGAATACTCCTGTAGCATGTAATTTTCTCACTTGGAAAGTTGGGGTTAATGAGAAATGAATGAAATCAAATTTTCATGCTTAGTACATTTTAAGATGTACTTAAACATTTTTCAGTTTTCCAAAAAGGTACGTAGAATTCAAAGGAAGTGCACAATTTAACCCCAGAACAAATTTTAGTATTAAAAAATAGTTGCATACCAAAAACTCACACAACTGTTTGCACTTGGGGGTTTAGACATCACATTCTTTTTTTCCAAGCAATAACTGGCAGCCGTTGGGATCCATACTCTAGTTCCCTCACACCCAGGACAAGATGACTGAGGAATGTTCCACACTGTCTCCTAGAGATTCACAGCAGGATCAAATGCCAGTTGCTCTCAGCTGCATGACCAGCCATACTGCACCCTTTCTTGATTTCCTTCCCTTTCCTCCATCAGTTCTCCACTTCTTTACTGGTGCTTCCTAGGGTAACTACAAATAAATCTTGCACTAAAACCTTTTGTCTTAGGCCAGTGATGGCGAACCTATGACAACGCGTGTCAGAGGTGACGCACGAACTCATTTTTTTGGTTGATTTTTCTTTGTTAAATGGCATTTAAATATATAAAATAAATATCAAAAATATGTCTTTGTTTTACTATGGTTGCAAAGATCAAAAAATTTCTATATGTGACACGGCACCAGAGTTAAGGTAGGGTTTTCAAAATGCTGACATGCCGAGCTCAAAAGGTTCGCCATCACTGTCTTAGGCTGTGCTTCTGGAGAAATGCAACCCAAGACAGTTTGGCAAGACACATTTTACTAAGAGTTTAAAATTTTCAAGTTTTAGAATATAGGTTTGGAGAAATTTGTTCACAAAGATGAGTATGAAAGGTTTGCTTTTTTTTTTTTAATAGGGAAGATTTACTAAAACAAATTTGCTTTTTTATTGATAAAACACAAGGTAGATACTAAAAAATGGAATAGATAGCTAGTTTCTGTTTGGAGGCCAGAGGTCAAAATGAGTCCGGATAAGTGTCTCTGTTTTATACTGAAAGTAGGCATCACTGATGTTTAAAACCCCAACTATAAATGGCTAGGTGTCATTTTAGCATGCGATTTATTTTTAATACTAAAATTTGTTCTAGGTTTATATTGTACGTTTACTTTCAGTTTGAACTATGTTCTTGGCAACACCAAACATAAAAGTAAATCCAGTTCAAGAAACAGAAAGAACTAGAGCAGTGGTTCTCAACCTGTGGGTCGCGACCCCTTTGGGGGTCGAATGACCCTTTCACAGGGGTCGCCTAAGACCATCGGAAAACACATATATAATTACATATTGTTTTTGTGATGAACCACTATGCTTTCATTATGTTCAATGTGTAACCATGAAAATACATCCTGCCTATCAGATATTTACATTACAATTCATAACAGCAAAATTACAGTTATGAAGTAGTAACGAAAATAATTTTATGGTTGGGTGTCACCACAACATGAGGAACTGTATTAAAGGGTCGCAGCATTAGGAAGGTTGAGAACCACTGAACTAGAGAAAAAATACAGATGCAAGCAAGAGGTAATAGGATAGCATATTCCAAGCATTTTCTTATTCCTGAATAATAGGTTTTTATTGTAGTTTTGCCCATAGAATTCTGCTGACAAAATTTTTTTTATTTCAGGGCAGGTTTGATTAAAAAGAAACCAGAGAATCTCATCAAATTGATTGGATTCCATGCCTTTGCTGACTCATCTAATCACTGTTATTTCAGTGCTTTAAAAATGTTTCTCAAATATATTGTAATGCAGGATAGAGTTTTCATAACTTAAATCATCTTGGGTACCATATTTTATATTAATAATGACATATGCATTAAACATAAGTGCTTTTCCTAAAACTCTCTTTTCCCCTTTCTTTATAGAATGCTGCCTTTTTATATGGTCTTGGTTTGGTCTACTTCCATTACAATGCATTTCAGTGGTAAGTTGACATAAAACTAATAAGTCCAGTTATTTCCAGTGAATGACTTGTTTTTGTTCTTGGTGTGTTTTGTTTGATATACAGTGTGGGTAAAAAGTAGGTTTATAGTTGTGAGTATGTGAAACGGAATTTGTTCTTGCATTATTACTTATTATTGTATTATTTTTCATATGAACAACTCTAAATCTACTTTTGCCCCGCTCCATATTGTGTATGTAATAAATACAACATATTTTAATGTCCCTATGCCTACATTTTTCAGTAATCTCTTAAAATGATTAGATATTCCTTCAGAGATGTTGAACCACTTCACATATAATAGTTGTATGTGTCCCTGAAAGAATCTGGCATGAGATTATAATTAAAGAAGGCTTAGATTAGAAAGCTGTTAGAATTTCTCAGGTCTTCGTTATGGACCAGTGATCCCCAGGTTATTTGAACTGGGGAATGACTTGCACTGTGATAGAAAGATTTATGGATAAACTATCTGTGATGACCAGTACTTTTACCTTTTCAGACTTTTAGACAAGATTGACTACTCCCTCCCCTTCCTCTCCCCAACACACACGCAATAGGAGGGAAAAAAGAATCCCAGTGTCTGGAGTGATTATAGGAAGATTGGCTAGAGGGCGCAAAAGAGCCAGGAGGTAGTAATACATTAGCAAATGCCAATGTGAATAACCCAGTGTATGATACTTCTAATTTAGCCTCACATTTAAGGTCCTCTCTGGTTCAACCTCAAATGATCCTTTTAGCCTCACTGCTCCCTTAGCTAAATGTGTTCTTTATGTCAGTCACACTGTATTATCATTTCCCTGAAACATCTTGAGCATTTTTTAACCAGTGTAACCTTGTTCGTGCCATCTACTCTGTTTGGTCTGCCTTTTCTTTCCATGTCCACCTTTAAAAATATTACCTGTCTCTTTGATTACTTCATCACATCGATTTGTGTCACTTAAAAGGAACCTCTAAATTTCCTAATCTTTATGTGTGGAACTATATATCTGTTATATACTTATAAAATGTTATTACTGATTCAGAGCTAGAATACTATCCCTTTTAGATATTCCTGAGGGAACTCTCTGGACTCAGCAGCTTTATTAGCCTCAAAGAACTGAGTTTTATTGTCTCTTCCCAAATGTACTGAAACTGTGCTAAGGCCATTTAGTTAATATCATTTTTGATATAGTTTTAAAGGAAGCTTTTTAAATGACTTTCTTGAAATCTTATTAAAAGTGACCATTGTTTTAAAATATATTTAGCACATTCATGTTTTTCATAGGTAGTGCTATTGAGGTTTTAGCTTTTTATCATTTATTCTTTTAAATTGTTAACAATGGCACACACTAAATGCAAAACAATTTTTCTATCATTTCTTTTTTTAAATTGTTAGCAATGGCACACATTAAATGCAGAAAAAAATTAAGCTGAAAATCTATAGAAATAATTGTGGTGATATAAAAAAAACACCTTTTTAAATTTTAAGAAAAATGCCAATGATACTCATGCACAGCAGTATGAACTTTTTTGTATCAGTATGCTCTAATATTTGAAAACTACAAACCTTTCCACACATTGTATCAAAAGTATTTTATAGTTTTCCTTAGCTATTTCTCATGTTCTAAAATTCTCTGTGAATCAGAATTTGTATGCTTTGGTGTTTTCGTTTAGCTTCTGCTATAGAGATTAAATTCTGGCTGTATGCAGTTTGGTGAAATGATGACCAAATTTAAAATGTAGTCTGAGTGTTATCTATTTTCTTCACATACTCCCCCCCACACACACACACACACACACACACACACACACACACACACATTTCCCCCCCTTTTTTATTCCTTTGTTCCCCTCAGGTGGGAAAAAATGAAGAAGCACACAGGAGATAAAACATTAGTAAAAGTTTAGAAAATAAAATGAAAGTGAACTTAGATATATTTTGCTAGATGAGGGGAACTGGTTTAGTAAAGAGACTGTGGAGTGTCCCTTCCCTCCCAACACACACACATGCATGCACGCACACAATTTAATCAGCCAACTATGAAAGTGATGGCATCAGCAAATACCTGTTAAACTTAAACATTTTACTGTATTGTTTAGAACATTAAAAATAGGAATGGCCAGAACCGGTTGGCTCAGTGGATAGAGCGTCGGCCTGCAGACTCAAGGGTCCTGGGTTCGATTCCGGTCAAGGGCATGTACCTTGGTTGCGGGCACGTCCCCAGTGGGGGGTGTGCAGGAGGCAGCTGATCAATGTTTCTCTCTCACTGATGTTTCTGGCTCTCTATCCCTCTCCCTTCCTCTCTGTGAAAAATCAATAAAATATATTTTTTTAAAAAATAGAAATGCACAACTGAAGGAATAGACTACTTGGAAAAACTGGAGCTGACCAACCTCCCACAGCCCCTCCCCTAGAGGGCCAACCTCCCACGGCCCCTATCGGGCGATCACCAGCTAGGCCAGGGTACCCCACCCATGCACAAATTTGTGCACCGGGCCTCTAGTTTTAATATAAAATATTATTTGAATAATTGAGAATAAATTTAACCGATCTTCCTTTTCATCTTTTGTATTAAACTGGAGGCCTAGTGCACAACATTCATGCACTCGGCATGTGGGGCGGTGGTGGTTCCTCAGCCCAGCCTGCACCCTTTAGCAGTCCAGGAGCCCTTGGGGGATGTCCGACTGACGGCTTTGGACATCTTTAGTGCTGCTGCAGAGGCAGGAGAGGCTCCTGCCACCGCTGCTGCGCTCGCCAGCGGTCAGCCCGGTTTGTGGCTGAGTGGCTCACCCCCTGTGGGAATGCACTGACCACCAGGGGGCAGCTCCTGCGTTGAGCATCTGCCCCCTGGTGGTCAGTGTGCATCATAGCAACCAGTTATTCCTCCATTTGATCGATTTGCATATTGCCTTTTTATTATATAAGATTAGATTCTGTACATTCAATTATATGAAAGACCCAGATGCCCCTTTGCAGTCTTTTTTTTTTTAAACTCTTCATTCACATCATTTTTATAAAACTGCATTTCCTTTTAACAATATTGTGTAAATCATAAGTTTTACTGTGCTACCAAGCAAAAATTCATGCAAATGTTAAAAAGTTAAGCTGTCTTATGTCTGTATTCTTTCAGGGCAATTAAAGCATTTCAGGAGGTGCTTTATGTTGATCCCAGCTTTTGTCGAGCCAAGGAAATTCATTTACGACTTGGGCTTATGTTCAAAGTGAACACAGACTATGAGTCTAGTTTAAAGGTAGGTTGTGGTTTTTCTCTAAGACACAATGTTTCATTTGCGGGGAGGGGGTTGTTAAATGTTAGAGCATTGAGAAATGTTGGAATTTATATCAGCACCTCAAAAGAAAATTTGAAAATTTAAGTGAAAGAACTATTTATCAGCTGTGAACTGGAGAGATACAGATGTTGGGTTTCAGGGCACAAAGTAGTTATTATGCTAAGACATAGGTAATTAATTACACATCATTTAACTTTTCTGGGGAGGAGGTTAAAGTTTTGAGGTTTGCTATCAGGAAAGGGTGTGGGTTTCAATTTCAGTTTGGACATTGGAAACACTTCTCTATAAGCAATTGGCCACCATAGAGGTCAGAAGCAGCTACCTAATGATGGTGTGACCAAATCATTCACCATTTATTTGTATTCGTTTCACTAGAAATCTTTCCACCTTTACCAGTAGGGTATATCTCATATAGAAAATATTTTTAAAAGTGTTCTCCAAAAGTCAGTTGTACTGCTGGTGGATCAGTATAAACGTTACTGGGAAAAGGTAATACATTGTTGGTTAAGTATTTCACTTCTATGGAAATTTGATAGTTCTCAAATTTTTCATTGAGCTTCTTGTGCTATCTGTGCCATCACTTTAGGTCTCACTGGGATTTTCATTAATATAGTGCTTCCCTGCATGACAAAAGTGTTGCTTTTTGAAAGGAATCAAAGTTCTAGAGAAAAGCTTAAGTTTTTGTGAATTTATGGCCATAATGGTTGCCATGTTCTAAATAGCTCTGATGGATACTGTCTTGATTCTGAAGGGAGGGAGATAAAGAATGACTGTACAGTAGGTTGTAATTTGAATTCACTAATTAGGAATTACTGAAAGTTTTTTTTTAAACTGGATTTAAGAGTGCCTAATTCTTCTATAGTTTTTTTTTTTTAAATATATTTTTATTGATTAAGATATTACATATGTGTCCTTGTCCCCACGTTACCCTCTACTCCCCCCCCCCCCCCGCTCATGCCCTCACCCTCCTCCCCCCCCCCCCCCCCCCCCGTTGTCCGTGTCCATTGGTTAGGCCTATATGCCTGCATGTAAGTCCTTTGGTTGATCTTTCCCCCTTACCCCCACCCTCCACTACCCTCCCTCCAAAGCCCGACAGTCCAATCAATGCCTCTCCGTCTCTGGATCAGTCCTTGTTCATCAGTTTATGTTGTTCATTATATTCCACAAATGAGTAAGTTCATGTGGTATTTATCCGCTCTCCAGTTCCATCCATGCTGTGGCAAATGGTAAGAGTTCCTTTTTCTTCTTCCTCTTCTTAAAAAATACCTTTCAGCATTTCATATAATGCTGGTTTGGTGGTGATGAACTCCTTTAGCTTTTTCTTATCCGTGAAGCTCTTTCTCTGACCTTCTATTCTGAATGATAGCTTTGCTGGATAAAGTAATCTTTTTTTTTTTTTAAATATATTTTTATTGATTTTTTACAGAGAGGAAGAGAGAGAGAAAGAGAGCCAGAAACATCGATGATAGAGAAACATCGATCAGCTGCCTCCTGCATATCTCCCACTGGGGATGTGCCCGCAACCCAGGTACATGCCCCTGACCGGAATCGAACCTGGGACCCTTCAGTCCGCAGGTCGACGCTCTATCCACTGAGCCAAACCGGTCTCGGCGATAAAGTAATCTTGGTTGCAGGTTCATGCTATTCATCTCTTTGAATATTTCTTGCCACTCCCTTCTGGCCTGCAAAGTTTCTGTTGAGAAATCAGCTGACAGTCGTATGGGTACTCCCTTGTAGGTAACTGACTGTCTTTCTCTTGCTGCTTTTAAGATTCTCTCTTTGTCTTTTGCTCTTGGCATTTTAATTATGATGTGTCTTGGTGTGGTCCTCTTTGGATTCCTTTTGTTTGGGGTTCTCTGCGCTTCCTGGACTTGGAAGTCTATTTCTTTCACCAGATGGGGGAAGTTTTCTGTCATTATTTCTTCAAATAGGTTTTCAATATCTTGCCCTCTCTCTTCTTCTGGTACCCCTATAATTCTGATGTTGGTACGCTTGAAGTTGTCCCAGAAGCTCCTTACACTATCTTCATATTTTTGGAATCTCTTTTCTTTTTTCTTTTTCAGTTGGGTATTTTTTGTTTCTTTGTATTTCAAATCTTTGACTTGATTTTTGGGATCCTCTTGTCTGCTGTTGGATCTCCGTAGATTATTCTTTATTTCAGTCAGTGTACGCTTAATTTCTAGTTGGTCCTTTTTCATGTCCTCCATGGTCTCACTATACTTATTGAGGGACTCATTAAATTTATCGGCGGTTTCCATAAAATTCTTGAAAAACCTTATAAACGTGGCCTTGAACTCTATATCCAGTCGTTTGCTTTCCTCCATTTCTGTCATTTGTGACCTGTTTCTTTGTCTCCGCATTTTGGCTGCTTCCCTGTGTTGATAGAGTGGCTTTGTGTGCTAGGTGTCCTGTAGGGCCCAGTGGTTCAGCCTCCCCAGTTACCTGAGGTGGACACTCTTGGTGCACCCCCTCGTGGGCTTTGTGCACAGTCTTGCTGTTGCTATGCCTTGGTTGTTGTAGGATCACTGGGAGGAATTGACCTCCAGGGCAATTGGCAGCGAGAATCAGCTGTGTCTGCAGTGGAAGAACTTCTGTGCTGGAGACACCCTTCTGGGGCAAGACTTGCTTCAGTGGGGCTTTGGTGCTCACTGAGACTGCACCCTGAGTGTGTCCCTTATGGATCTGAGGAGATGTGATCTGGATGGTTCCCCTCTGACCACTGGGTACAGTGGCTCTTGGATCTAAGGAGGTGCTAATTTAGCCTCTGCCTGAGGTTACACAGCAGGAACTACGAAGAGAACTGCAGATTCCCCTTCCTTTTTTTTGGAGTTTGGAAGTGCCCTGATGATGCTCAGCTGTGTAGCAATGCAAGCCGCTGTGGCGTCTTGGGCCTTCTCTTGGAAGCTCTGGGTCTGTCTGGTCCGGCTGCAGTTAGGTAATTACAGGTTGCAAATGGCTGGGGCATTCATATGCAAAAGCCTCTGCCGCAGCCTGGGCGGGGCGGGGTCTCAAGAAATCAAAGGGCGGAGAAAGCAGCTATGGCGGAGCCTCAGCCCCACCCTAAGGAGTCGCGAGTCCCAGTGTCCCGGCAATGGCTGCAAGCACCTCTGAGGGAAAGCCGCTCTCAAGCTCGCCCGCTGCCAGACAGTCCAGTATCTCCCCGTATGAGTCCTGGGTCCCCGGAGATTTCCCGGAACCGGATTTCAGAGCCGTCGGGAGCTTGTGTCTCCCTCCGGATTCAAAAAGACAGCCGCGTCCTCAGGTGCCAGACCCTTTCCGCGCATGCGAGCCCCCGTACCTCTGCACTCCACCTCCGCAGCTCCTCCCGCTCGCAGTGTGCTTTTCTTTCCTTCTAGTTGTAGAATTTACACTCAGCCAGCCCTCCTGTAGTTCTGGATGGTGTCCACCTTGTGTTTTTGATGCATTTATCGATTGTTGTGGGAAGCAGCAATTTCCTGGTGTTTATCTATGCCGCCATCTTAGTTTCTCTTCTAGAGTTTTAAAGTAGACTGCAAATACAGTTTTTATCTTTCATAAGTTTATAAAGCACAATGTTGATGGTAAGAAAAAGAGAGACAACCAAAAACACTAAAACAAGTAGATTGTGAACTATTTAGATCACGTAGTTGTCACAGGTAAGTGCAGTTTGAAGAATAGGCCTGAGGGTAAATGTAAGTAGTGTGAAGAATAAGGGATGCCTGGAAGTTACCAGTTTTTCCTCAAGCTTACAGCAGCATTTCTCAGGCTATATATTGTGGAATATGAATGGATTAGAAATGGAAAATAAAGTTTAAATGTGCCACCTTGTATATTTTACCCCCTCTTGGACATTCACAGTGTATATTAGCTAACAAAGACTCTTAAAAAAATAAAATTATTTGAGTATTTTACAATGCTGTCACAACTCCTATTATGTGTGGAACAAGTATCTTGGGTAGTAGATTGGTAAATGTTGTTAGGAAATATATTTTAGTGGAAAAAAGTAATCAGATATGTCCTAAATTGTGTGAAATGTGAATATCTCTGAATATCAGTACAGTGGTATCCTATCTAATAATAGAGAAACGTGGTAATTAACCGTAACTTCGCTACCCTTCCCATCGGCTAATCAGCGAGATATGCAAATTAACTGCCAACCAAGATGGCGGCTGGCAGCCAGGCAGCTGAAGCGAACAGGAGGCTTGCTTGCTCCAGTGATGGAGGAAGCCAAGGTTCCCCGCCTGCCGATGCGGGCCTCTGAGCTGCACTCTAAGAAACAATGTTGCAATTATAGAAGCTAAACAAACCCCAGAAACCTGCTTTCAGCCAGCCGGGCCTCAGAGCTGGAGTTGCAAGTGTTTCAATTATTGAAGCCAAACAAACCCAGATACCTGCTTTCAGCAGCGGAGGTCTCAGAGTTGGAGCCGAGCCTCAGAGCTAAAGCTGGCTCTCAGTTCTAGTGACAGCCATAGAAGGTAAATAAATCCCAGAATAAAAAAAAAAAAAAAAAGGAGAGGTTGGGAGCTTCAGTCACCCGCCAGCCTGAAAACGGCCCTCAGCCCCTCACCCAGACTGGCCAGGCACCCCAGTGGGGACCCCCACCCTGAAGGGGGTGTGACCAGCTGCAAACAGCCATCATCCCCTCATCCAGGCTGGCCAGGCACCCAAGCGGGACCCCCACCCTGAAGGGGGTGCGACCAGCTGCAAACAGCCATCATCCCCTTATCCAGGCTGGCCAGGCACCCAAGCGGGACCCCTACCCTGATCTGGGACACCCTTCAGGGCAAACCAGCCAGCCCCCACCTTTGCACCAGGCCTCTATCTTATATAGTAAAAGGGTAATAATGCAAACTGACCCTAACAGCAGAAGGACTGGGAATGACTGGTCACTATGACACACACTGACCACCAGGGGGCAGACGCTCAATGCAGGAGCTGCCCTCTGGTGGTCAGGGCACTTTCACATGGGAGGAGCTCTGCTC